TGTGCGGCTTTAATTGATGGGTCATTTCACAAAAGGCACCACCATCTAGGGTCTATTTTGTGCAACTTTTCGCAAACTAAAAGCGGATAATCACAAAGTAAAAGTAGTCATTCCCCTTTCTTTCTAATAATCAACTTTTTAAACTTATTTAAGGCAATTCTGTTTCAAAAGTTGTTAAGCAGAAACTCCAGCAAATGCTCATGACACAATTTTTTTAAAAAATAATAATAATAAAAAAAAAACAATAAACAACCAAATAAGCTGCACCAAACGGCCCCTAGTGGATAGTTCAGGTCCTTTCAACCGTGGGAAAATAAAAAGCAAATTTGTAATGTAAATAAATGAGACATTTTCTGTGCGATAATTGTAGACATGCTCTGACTCCGAACATCTTTGTGTTGATGTTATTGGACAGATCCACACCCACATGTGCTACTCAAACTTCAATGACATCATCCACTCAATTATCGACATGGATGCTGATGTGATCACAATCGAGAACTCAAGATCAGACGAGAAGCTTCTTTCTGTCTTCCGCGAGGGAGTGAAGTACGGTGCTGGCATTGGCCCCGGTGTGTATGACATCCACTCCCCAAGAATCCCCTCTACAGAAGAGATTGCTGACCGGATCAACAAAATGCTTGCTGTCCTCGAGTGCAACATCCTCTGGGTCAACCCTGACTGTGGCCTCAAGACGAGAAAGTACCCGGAAGTCAAGCCTGCTCTCAGTAACATGGTTGCTGCCGCCAAACTTCTCCGCACCCAGTTTGCTAGTGCCAAGTGAGTTCAGAAAGGACGACCGTTACTGTGATTTGCTTATATATATCTGAGAAGGGAATTCCCATTTATGGCTCTACTAATAACTCATCGATGCTCTGTTCTCTTGAGAATACGAGCATTTTTATCGTTGCGGAGAAGATGATTATAGGGGGTACTAAGCTTTGCTAAATGAGCTCAAATCACTGGTTTTATGGCCTTTGATATCTTGTTTCGTTTTTTGTTTTTTTGTTTAATCGGTATTTGCTTTTGTAATCCTGCTTATGTCAAGCCATATCCATGTTCCTTGAAAGGGGCTATCTATGTGAAATAAACTGGAAAATGAGGAATAAAGGGCAATTACCAAGCTTTTGTTTTGCGATGAAGATGGATAATTTGTCTTACCCACTATAGTTCTTATCTATGGTTTCGTTCCCTATTATCACTACTAGGATTTTGTACTAGAAAATGTGTATTTATTAAGGTCCTCTTGCTTTGTGCCGTTCAAATTCTGCAATAAAACTAATTTTTGGAACAAATTAATAACCCTAACCAAAATAATGGGTGCTTGTATATGTATATTTTACATATTATATGCATTGTAAACCTTGGACTTTTTGATGTACTTGTAGATGTGGGTATGTTTAGTGCTTACAGCATCTCTAATACACTTGAGAGCAATTGATGAGTTTGTCAATTGATAAATTAGAATTGCCATACATATCATTTAACATTTCTATTAGCTTAACATATAAAATGGTTAATATTTTTATCATTTGTATCTCATATAATACATACTACATTTTGGCTTAACACCTAAAATGGTTCCTATTTGTATCATTTGTTTGTCATATAATACGCACCCTGCATTGGAGATGATGTTACATGCCAAGCCATTCCAGCCGAAAGATGGATTTCTAGTTAGTGCTTTTATTCACTGCATGAGAAATCAAGTGTATACAAAGCAATGCCTATATGATTGATGATTATATATTTATATAGTGTCTGCAAAGTACATTACAAGATTTTAGTTCTCGTGTTTCTTCCCAGACTGAATCCAATCTTTAACATAAAGCACAATTATAACAGCCAACAGAACCACCACACCCCAGTTCATCGAAACCCCCAACTTCTTCGCCACCCCCGCCATGAAACCACCACCAGAATCTCCATTTACACGTTCATCACTTCTTCTCTTTCCATCTCCGGCCACCACATCAGTGCCTTTCTCCTCCGCCACTGCCTTCTTCCTCACTGAAATCTCATTTTTCGCATCCATTGATTCAAAGCTCTTCTCCTTCCCTTCCATCTGCTTTGACTCATCGCTGCCTCGAATATCGCTCTTCTGAGGCTGTGACGGCGGTGACTCCACCGACTTCTTCGGAGTTTTCACGTCGCTCTTTTGAGGTTGTAGCGGAGGCGGAGGAGGTGGGGGGGGGGGGGGGTTGTGTTTGAATCATAAATTTGGATTGGGATTTAGAAAGAGAAATGAAAAGATGAGAGAAATATTAATGAAATATAAGATAAAATATTTTTCTTCATTTCTCTCGCCTTTTCTTATTCCTTTCCAAATTCATACCAAAATTTATGATCAAATACAGTCTTAACACAAATATTATCAATTTAACTAAATTGACACCATATTTAAAATTAAAAGTAAAATTTATACAATTGAAACTACATAAAAATTAAATTGACACAATAAACAAATTATAAGAAACAGACACATAATTTATTATATATATATATATATATATATGTGGAAGAATGGCAAGTAGAAATAATGTACCTCAAGAGGGGTGCCTTTGTTGTTTGGTGGAAGAATGGAGCCAATCCCATTCCCTCTAGGGTACCTAAAGCAGCTAGGCCTATCATCAATGGCTGCAGCAGTGGAAACCATGTGCATGAGCTCAGTCTCACAAGAAGGGGCCATGACCACCATGTTAGGCAAACAAGCCATGAAAGTTGTGTCAAAAGCCCCACAATGTGTAGGACCATCTGCACCAACAAGACCAGCCCTATCCAGTGCAAATCTCACTGGAAGCTTTTGAAGATCCACATCATGAGCCACCTGCACCGCCCATCAACAATACCAATAGATATATATAGTCAGATTTACTATAATTTTTCGACAGTTATATTTTTAAATTTTATATTTGAGTGACAAAAATTATTTCATATTTTTAGAGTAAGACGATGAGGTGTCTTGACTTAATTTTTATTGGTTAAAACAATAGAACTCATTACTTTTATTAACAGGAACTAAGATTTTGTTTTTTTAAAAGATTTTTACATAAAACATCAACAAAATCAACTTACTATATGCATCATATCAAAAACACATAAATTAGATTGAATTATCTTATAAAAACAACAAAATAAAAAAATAAATAAACTGAAGGATAGTTAGTTCACCTGATCATAACCTCTCTGTAGAAAAGAAGAGTAAATAGTGCAAAAAGGCTTGAGACCTTCAGTGGCAAGACCAGCAGCAAAGGTGACAGCATGTTGTTCCGCAATCCCGACGTCGAAACATCTCTCTGGAAAACGTTTTTGGAACAGATTCAGTCCAGTTCCTCCCCCCATTGCTGCATGGATTGCTACTATTTTCTCATCTCTCTCAGCTTCAGCAATTAAGGACTCTGCAAAGTATTGGGTGTATGACTTTGTCTTTGATTTTGTCTTCAATTGTTTCCCTGACTTTGGTTCAAACTTCACCACACCTATGAAGAAAAAACAACACCAATTTATTAGCCCCATGCTACAACCATAATTTTTCACTTTTTTTGTCCTTTGTCCTATTTTCATCCTTGTAGTTTAAATTATTTTTAATTTTATCCTCAAAGTATTAAATGTGTGTTGAGAGAGAGAGAGAGAGAGAGAGAGAGAGGTGCACCATGCATCTTGTCAGCTGCAACCTCAGCGGAAAGAACATTAGGGTAGATGATGATGACTATATACCGTCAGATCATGAGGATGACACTGATGCTGAGTCCTTTGAAAGTGCTGACAATGAGGTACTATATGTATGGCCATTCATTTTTTTTTACTATGTCACCGATAGCTATATATTTGTTAATGATGCTTTGATTTCCGTATACTTTACTTATCCATTTTTATGTATTTATTGTTTATGCTTTTGTATTATGTTTTTTAGGGCTTACCAATGCCACCAAAACGATTGGCGCAGTCATCTATTCAACTTTCGCACGAGGCAATTGTTGTTCCAAATGGGGATTTACATGCCAATGTGGATACCCAACACTCACAGCCACTTGATGTCGATATGGAAGCACCGAGGGAGGCAGCTCCCCAATCTAGTGTCGGTAAGATACTGAATTTTACTAAGCTAAAGAAATTCTCTGTTTTAATATAATTCTATGGTGCAAAAAATTTCAAGCAATTTGTTTCATAGGGATTGATTTTTTATTTTTATTTTAGTTTTGGTCTCACTTTTAATTTTTTGTCACATAACACACAAAGTTAACATCTCTATTGGAGATGCTCTTAGCTTTCAACCATTCCTAGTTCTTTGAACAAAAACATCGAAGAAGGAGAAATTATTGGGTATAGAAAAGGGTATAGCATGACATTGTTATGTGATAGTACTCGTCACCAATCATTAATTGCCACCTTTTATACTATTAGACAAACCATTAATGTAAATGGGATAAGCGATAAGCCTTATCCTGTAAACCAAACTCAATCAAAGAAGGCACCACATGACAATACTTTGGTACCCAATAATTGCACGTGAGAAAAATCAAAGAATTGACTTGGTAGGTGAAACTCTCTCTTACCCTGCGTGATACCTATATTTGAGTATTACAACTAAGCTAGGTAGTTGCTTCTTTCTCTATTTGGTTCCTACAAATTTGAAAAATCAACAAAAACAAAAATAAAAACAAAAATAGAAAAAATAACAGTGGTAGAGGATTGAAAGCATCAGATTATGGCTAGGAGTGGTAGAAGTCCTTCCGGACATTCTGGAAACTCAAAGCAGGTTGTGATAAAGATGTGGCATCCGATCCATTGCCATTGTTGTTGCCATTTCAGGTTATGTTTAATGAAACAGATTGTTATCTACTTCTGCTGAAAGTGCAAGAATTTATTGAACTAGGGAAAAATAAAAAAATAAAAAAAACCTGAACCTTAAACAGAGAAGGGGACTAGTTGATGATACTGATTTAATTGAAAATATACGAACTATTAAAAAGCTTGCTCCTGACATCGAAACATCTCTCTGGAAAATGTTTTTGGAACAGATTCAGTCCAGTTCCTCCCCCCATTGCTGCATGGATTGCTACTATCTTCTCATCTCTCTGACCTTCAGCAACTAAGGACTCTGCAAAGTATTGGGTGTATGACTTTGTCTTTGATTTTGTCTTCAATTGTTTCCCTGACTTTGGTTCAAACTTCACCACACCTATGAAGAAAAAACAACACCAATTTATTAGCCCCATGCTACAACCATAATTTTTCACTTTTTTTGTCCTTTGTCCTATTTTCATCCTTGTAGTTTAAATTATTTTTAATTTTATCCTCAAAGTATTAAATGTGTGTTGAGAGAGAGAGAGAGAGAGAGAGAGAGAGGTGCACCATGCATCTTGTCAGCTGCAACCTCAGCAGGAGCATAGCCTTTGCCTTTCTCAGTTAAAATATGGATGAGAACGGGTCCAGGTGCAGGGAGGGACTTGACATCTTTCAAGATATGAACCAAGTCTTCCACATTATGACCATCCACAGGACCAATATAGTACAACCCAAGTTCTTCAAACAAGCTTGCTCCTGAACCACCCACCATCCCTCTCATGTATGAATCCATTTTTGCTGCTATTTCATGTCCTTGGCTTCCCATCAGCTGCTTGGTCATGCCCTGTTTTTGTTTCAAACACAATTTTGTTTTCCTTTTAGGCCAAATTATAAGGATAGCAATTAGCACAATCTTTGCCTGAATTTATAATTATGTCTCGATTTAGTGTAATTAATGAAAATCATAAATTATTTTTTTTAAATGAAAAATGTGCACGTGAGCAACATACATCATATTATAAACTTGCTCGACTCAATGAATTAATCAACTCAGTGACCATTTATCATATTATCAATTAGACTAATTAATACAAAATTCAAAATTAAGAAAAAAAAATTAAGTTAATTGAAAATATAGGAACTATTTCAATTTATCCTTTTTTTTAGTTACTATTAATTTGTAGTAAACAATGAACAGGATAGAGGGTAATCATTTAGGCCCGACAACCCACGATCCAACCTAACCTTGAGTAGCCCTCGGGCCATTAGGCCTTCTTCCCAGCCCAGTGAACAAGGCCTGAACTCATATATTTGGTCGAGGCTCAACTGGCAAAAAAGCCCGCCAAACTAAGCGTAAGGGCAAACTTGGACATAGCCGGGCCACTCCTCTTCATCAAATATTTTTCTATTTTTATTTTATTTATTCTTAAAACATGTATGTGTACCAAACGTGTTATTATTTTAAATTTTTGTTAAAAAAAATGAAAAATGAAAAATGAAAAATGAAAACATGTTCCCTAATGATTGTGAGCTCGGAGGAATCATGAAAATGATCATGAAAAATTCTCTATATTTGGATTACACTTAAAATAAAATACTACATACTAATTAAGGGATGAAAAATCTTCATAATTGTATTTCATGATATTTTTTTCATGACTCCTACTATTATTCTTACTTTTGCGGCTTCACGAAGTTGGCGGAACTTTCTACTTGACTGTAATCTTGTGAGGGCTTTGCTAAGAGCTCCGACAGGCGAAGCAGGACCGTCCACGGTGGCTGTGGGGAGAGAAACTTGGGCATTGTCGTTTAAGATGATTATAAGGTTTGTGTCAAGATAGCCTGCATTGTTCATAGCCTCATATGCTTGTCCTGCAGTCATGGCTCCATCACCTATTACCGCAATTACATGATTGTTCTTCCTTACCAAGTCTCTACCAACCGCCATCCCTGAGAAAATGTAGAAAAATATTATCATAAGTGTTGCTTGAAATTTTAAATAATTCATAGTGTAATGTATTGAATTGTTGACATTCATTTAAAAGATTAAATTATTAAAAGATAAGAATAATTTTATTATTTTTATTATTTATATTGTTGACGTGTAAAACAATGCTATCTAAGCGAAGGGAATACCCGCACACCCTTTTCCTAGTTGGGCTGCTCATTGAGGCTTAAATTGCACCTAAGAAATTGTGATATAACAATGCTATCTTGTCACAAAAAATTATTTATAATTTAAATTTTATGATCATATTCATTTAGTTATTATGCATATCATACCAAATTTTAATCAATACTATATATCCAAAAAAAAGAAAAAAGAAATTGGGTGCCTAATATTTTGTTTGTAATGTGCCTACTTTCATGATAAAGCCTAAATAAAAGAAAATACCAAACGAAAAAAAAGTAAATTACACTTATCTCCCTTAAAGTTAAAAAAAATAAAATAAAAGTAGCCTCATAGTTTTAGCATAATCATACTAATCTCTCTTTTAGTAAGATTAAAGTGGTCAAAATTAATGTAATAATGTGAAGTCACAAAAATAAATAAAGAAAAATATATATTTTTGTATAAAAGATATGAAAATACTATTTTTTTCATCCAAATGAATAACAAATTGTTGATAAAAATGTTACTAAGTGTTACATGAATTAAAACGTTAAGGAAGTCTAATTTAATTATGCTAAAACTATAAAATTTATTTATTTTTTTCAAATCTCATGAACATCGGTATAATTTATTATTTTTTTCAAAAAATAATGATTCACAAAAACACAAAATACATAGTACATAGGTGAAATGTGAACCACGCATACTCCACATGAAATTTTATTAAGAATAGAATTGTCAATGAAATGTACAATCACTTTCATTTCATGGTACCCTACCAACTTAAATTATTGAAGCTAGCAATCAATAAATAAATAAATATAAAACAAAGTTGGTTACAATGCAATATATTACGTGTACACGCAATTACTAGTAATACTAATAATAATTTGAACTCAAATTATAAAAAAAATTTAAAGTGAATCCAGCATCATGTGCTTTGTTTGACATATGGGAGAGCAATCATAAAACAGATTTTGAACTTTTAAGTTTTTTATTTTTCGTGCTTTATTATTTCCAATAATTTTTTTTTATTTTAGTCAAAATTTTATTTTTTTACATGTACTTAATTTGAATATATGCTTAAAAATAAATATTTACAAATAAATCTAAAAATAATTCAATAAGTAAACAAATACAACAATATTCTGAATTTATGTATTTAGTGAATTAAAAAAATTATAAATTTTATACTTTTTAAGTCGATCTAATTTTTTTTTTTAAATTGACTATAATATTAAAAAAATTTACTAAACCCTAAAAAAAAAAGATTGAAAATTTGATTTTTTTTTTTTTTTTGAAAACTCCGAAACCAAACAAAATTATTAATTCAAATCCAATTTTTTAGTTAGTTTTATTTATTTATTTATTGGATTTTTATTTTAAAAATCAAATTTTGGAAGTGAAAATGGAATTTACCTAAGCCAGCTGAAATGCTAGTAGAACTATGGCCAGCTCCAAAAGCATCATAAACACTCTCCTCCCTCTTGGGAAAACCGGCAAGCCCACAAGTTTGTCTAATTGTATGCATTCTCGATCTCCTTCCAGTCAATATTTTATGCGGATATGTCTGCAAAACGCACGCAAATATGCAATTCATAACACAAAATCATATCAAAATAGTTTCTTGATTAGAAAAATGAGTTACATTTAAGTAGGTGTCATTCAGCGACGAAGATAAAAATTTTGCTTAGAGAAAGCCAAGATAAGTCTAACATGAAGTTATGTTTTTTACTCACATAAGTATTGAGAGGGTAATTTTTGGGAAAATTGGGCCGAGCTTCAAGTTGGGTTTTGAGGCCCAAAGCGCAGAGGACTAGGTAAAAAGGCCGTACTGAATACTCCGGCCTAGAAAATTTTATTTTTTTACATGTACTTAATTTTAATATATACTTGAAAATAAATATTTATAAATAAATCTAAAAATAATTCAATAAGTAAACAAATACAACAATATTCTGAATTTATGTATTTGGTGAATTAAAAAAAAATCATAAATTTTATACTTTTTAAGTCGATATAAGTCAAGTCGATCTAATTTTTTTTTAAATTGACTATAATATTAAAAAAATTTACTAAACCCTAAAAAAAACAGATTGAAAATTTGAATTTTTTTTTTGAAAACTCCGAAACCAAACAAAATTATTAATTCAAATCCAGTTTTTTAGTTAGTTTTATTTATTTATTTATTGGATTTTTATTTCAAAAATCAAATTTTGGAAGTGAAAATGGAATTTACCTAAGCCAGCTGAAATGCTAGTAGAACTATGGCCAGCTCCAAAAGCATCATGAACACTCTCCTCCCTCTTGGGAAAACCTGCAAGCCCACAAGTTTGTCTAATTGTATGCATTCTCGATCTCCTTCCAGTCAATATCTTATGCGGATATGTCTGCAAAACGCACGCAAATATACAATTCATAACATAAAATCATATCAAAATAGTCTCTTGATTAGAAAAATGAGTTACATTTAAGTAGGTGTCATTCAGGAACGAAATTAAAAATTTTGCTTAGAGAAAGCCAAGATAAGTCTAACATGAAGTTATGTTTTTTACTCACATAAGTATTATTAAAAAAGAAATTAGTAAGAAAAATCAATAAATCTGTATATAATTTATTAATAGTTATCTGGTTATTTTATATAAGTTTTGAGCTTATAATTAGGTTGTCACTATATAATTTATTAGACTTTCATTTTCAGGTGTTTTATTGATAAATATAATTTACATAAATAGAAGTATCACTATAATTTTTATAATTGAAAAAAAAATGATATTTACGTATCAAATTAATCGAATTGGTGCTATTACATAATATGTGAAATAATTTGAGATCATGCCAATGCCACAACTAATGTTGTACAAATATTTAGGGTCAACAATAGAATTTTTACAAATTTAAGGGACCATTTTACATTCATTAATCACTAGTCCCACTAGTCCCAACAAAAGAATTGTCACTAGTCTCAATTTTTTGTGATTGATTTCTGTATAAATAAAATAACTGTATGTAGATATTATTATTATTATTATTACCTGGTGTCCAACATCCCAAATGATTTTATCTTCTGGTGTGTTGAAAACATGGTGAAGCGCAACAGTTAGCTCGGCCACTCCTAGGCTTGAGCTCAGGTGACCGCCGGTTTTAGACACCGTATAAACTATCTCTTCACGGAGTTCATCAGCCAACTTTTCAAGCTCCTGAAAATGGAAAACATAAATTTTACTAAAAACACATTTATAAAATCTCATTGGGTAATGCCCATTTCCATATCTTAGTTTTTTGTTTTCTCAGCTACCAAACATTGAAAAATCAAAAAAGGAAAAGAAAAATAGAAGTTTGACTACCTCAAGAGAAAGATTCTTCATGTGAATTGGGTAGTTAATGGTATCCAAGATTGGAGTGGAAGGCTTTTCCCCAGAGAAATTGAGGGTTCTTCTTGTTGTCAAGTGTCCATTGTGTATTGTTTGTTGATCACTCTTGACTATGATGTTGCTGTATTCATCACTTGTATTATTGTCCCCTGTAGCTGCTCTCACCCTACCAAACTGTAAATACCCAACAAAATATTTTTTTAAAAATATTTAAAATCCAATAATGACATTATCTGTGCGGGTCACCCCACTGCCATAGCTCGCACTAAGATATTGTCCGTTTTGTATCACAGAGCACACATGATTTTTGTTCTTCCTTCACTAGAAAAGACCTCTTGAAGATTTGCGGGCATAATACACTTATAAGGTGGGTCAAGAGATTCTAACAAACTGACGTGACACGAATTCAAACCCCCCCACATTATCCAAAACACGACAAGAAATTATTTAATACTACTAAAGCAAGTACAAGTGGTTCAAATTAATAGTCAATGGTATAAATTATAAGATCCATCACTTTTATGTTCGAGTATTAAGAGACACCATGCAAAGTATAAAAATTTACTATAAAAAGTGATTCGCAAAAAATAGACAGATCATATAGAAGTGGGTTAATGATATTTTTAAAATTTATGATAACAATAATGTGTTTAAGGATAATAATAATGTGTATAAATTGTCTTATTTGTATATAGTTACTTTTTAAGCTGAAAAAGAAGAGACTCATGAGTGAATGAGTGAGAGACAGAGAGATGGAAGACCTTGTGCTTCTTGTTGAAAAGAGAAGTCATGGTTGCAGAGGATGAATACCCATCTTGAGAATGGAGCAATGTGAGGAAACTGCTCTTGATAACACCACAAGAACCCATTCTCTCTCTCTCTCTCTCTCTCTCTCTCTCTAGATGTGAAGTGGTAATAGAATGATGCAAGTAGCAGCAGAGGAGTTGGGGAGATTAACGAGGAGAGGAGAGTACATTTATAGAGCACAAATACGCGCATTATTATTATTATTATTATAAAAAGAAAAAAAAAGAAAAAGAAAAGGATAAGAAGAAGGGTAATTTACAAATATACCTTTTGAGATTTGTTTAAAATACGAATTGATTCTTGTTGTTTGGAATATTACAAATATCTTTTTATTAAAAAAAATTTATTTAATAGAATTAATTAAAAAAGTGAAATTTCTAACTATTCACCTATATAATAATAAAATTATATGAATTATTAATTGAAATAAAATTTTAACATTATTAAAAACTGTTAACTAACTTGATGATTTATTAATAAAATGATTTATTTGTTATGAAATTAAAAACTTTAGAGGCTTAATGTAATTTTTAAAATTACAAAGAGTAATTTATAATTTAAATAAATCTCTGATGATGTGTTCGGAATTTTCCAAAAAAAAAAAAATTGCCGTCGTCCACACACACGGAAATAAGGTAACGGTATTACTAATAAAAACATGTCAAAAACGAGTCGGATCTGTCCATCCTAATCCATCTATGTAAGTACACACCTTTCGCATGTTCTTGCGTGGGTAATTATTGAATCCTTCCGTTGCTTTCTCGGAAAATTATATAATAATTTTGGAATATTATGTGTCATGCTCCTGCACTAATCATCATTTATTATATCATATTATATTTCTCAATCACCCAACATAAATAATTGATACTCTACATTTTTCACTAATTATCCTATTATGGAGTACCACGTAACCATACTCTCAAACTACCAAATAATCCCCTAACATTATGCAGTGTTGTCTCGTCTAAGTGATTCATTCTTATTAGTTAGTTAGGAGATAAAGGAAAATGCCCCAGACCCCTTTTCTCCCCCAGCCCCACCTCCACGTGGGAGATGGTGATTAGAGGGAAAAAAAAAAATTTCTTGACCAATGGGGTGCCAATGGGGGTCGTGGGGGTCTTTATCTGCGTCGGGAGATAAAATATAACTCATTTATTGTGAATTACAATTTCTCATTTATCAAGAATATCATATAAATAACATTACACCATACATTTTGACTATTTAACCATTTTTCAACTTGGATATAGCTTCCATCATATGTATTGTAGGACAAATTAATCCTTATGAAAATGAAGAGAAATTTTTATATTTCAATAAAGTATCACGTGACACTATTTTTCACCAATTACAAATATATATGTCCCCTATTATTTCCTAAATACCTAACATAAATATAATGAATCCTACTATTTACAATAATAAAAAGTATCATATGATATATATATATTATTCCCATATAAAAATTACTCAGCCCCGCCTGCACTACATATGGGAAAAAGGATAAAATATAGAGGATCCAAGGTGGTACTAATCACATTAGCATTTGATTTTTAGTCATTTTTTTCCCCGAGAAGTTTGTTTACTTTATTAATTTATCAATATTTTATCCTATAGTGTTTTTTTTGCCATCTTTCGAGTAATGTTTGAATGCACATGTGGTACCAATAATGTCACATTTTATATTTGGTTTGGGAATAGATTTTTATTTTTCCTAAAAGTTTGTTTATTTTATTAATTTATAAATATTTTATCCTATAGTGTTTTTTTTTGGCTATCTTTCGGGTAATGTTTGAGTGCACATTTGGTACCATTAATGTCACATTTTATATTTGGTATGGGAATAGATTATTTTAATAATTTTTAAATTTTTTTTTGACTAAAATATAAAATGAAAAAAACTAATATATTGGAAATGATTTTTTAGCTTTTTACAAAAAAAAAGTAAAAAAGAAAATAAATTTTTAACTTTTTTATATAATTATTTGACTTTTTAACTTTTTTTTTTAGTAATGGGAGCTCCCAAACTTACGGTACTAAAAAAATTATTTGATGGTTTCATAAAAGGCTTAGTTTGTCTAATGTACTAGACCATATAGTTGATAATTTGATCTATTCGTTTTACAGGTCTATATGTAAAAATCATTCATTAAATAATAATAATAATCAATTAATCAATCAATAAATAAAATCAATCAATCAATAAATAAATAAAATCAAATTAACCTGGTGTACAGGGAAGAAATAATTCTCCTCGTATAATCCTGTTGACCAAGTCCACGCTCCTCCGTACGACGTCGCTTTATCACCTGAAAACACAAACGTGAGCTAGCCGGCGGGTGTGTGCCGGAAACCTCTCCGATGCCTAAGTCAGTAGGCTTGACAAATTGACAAAGCTTTATGTTTTCAGAAAGCAAAATTGTGTTGTGTTCTGTTACCTCCCTCAAGGTGATGTTTGTGAGATTTTATAGGTTTCGAGTGGCACAATCCTAGTAGGACTTGTACTCCTCCATGCAGCGTCCTCCTAGGATTCATTCTCCTAAGGATAATGCCTATCCTTTTACACCCCCTCCCACTGCTTAAACCAAGTGGGATGGTCTTCATCATGGCAGAATTACCATATGACCGAAATAACTTGTCTATGTAGGGCCACTGAGTAGGCCGAACTTCCTTAGTTCGGTTCTGCTTTTACTTCCTACTTACCTCGGTTCTCTCCTGTCAACCCATGGCACGGTTGGACCAGACTTTAAAATATTGCGACCGATATAACTCCTAGGGCGGTCTAACTCAAAGGCACTGTCAGACTGACCTATTCAGAGGGACATTACGACCGGACTAAATCCGCGACCGGACCTACTCCAAGCCACCCCGGACCGGAGTAACTTTACATCATCTTGGCCGAAGTAACTTTATCCTTTCCTGGGCCGGAGTAATTATACCTCTTCTGGGCCGGAATAACATTACGGCCTTTTAACGAGTCCTTTATACTTTGGGCCACAAAGTCCATCTCTTAGCTCGGCCCAATTTTTTCCAAAAATTACCCTCTCAATTGCCCCTTAATTCCACCTGCAACGCATGATTGGGATTACAAGTCCACCAACTGAGCTGAAGTTATTAAGCATTTCCAGCCGAGCTAAAAACCCTTTAGTCTCTCTAGCCGAGCTAATTTTACTTCAGGCTTTACTTTGTCCGGTCAAAACGTCTTTTCAATCACGACTGTAACGCTTCCCTTTCCGTATACACGTGGCACGCTCCCATTCGTAGAAGGCAGCTGTCAACGCCGTCTTCGTATTTCGCAATTTTTGAACAGTTCCCGCCCTTTCTCTCTCTTTTCACAAAACAATCATCCTGCCTTTGAACCATTCACCGTTACTATTCTTCATCTTCTTTCTCTGTGCCTCTTCCTCTTCATCTGCCAAGCTCGCATTCTTTATATCTGCGACTGTTTCCATCTCTAGTTCCCTCTTCTCCAATCTGGTAAGCAAATCCATTCTCCTTTCTCTATTTTGCTTTCGCATCTTGCTTTCCATGTTTTTGCAAAACACATTTGTACAATTTTTGTTTGGCTTCTATACTTTCATGGAAAAATCAGTAGAACGCATGTGTATGAACTATTCTGTAGAAAACTAGTCTTAGATCCAAAATCACATAGCAACCGAACTAGAATACTGTTTGTCCAGTATAGGTAGATTACTTCAGACAATAACCGAACTAGAACTTGTAGAAACAACAGCAGCTTCAAAAGATGTCCAACTTTCGTTTTATCTTAGCCGAAATAAGATCATCGAACGAAGTTTGAACAAATTGGGCTAGGAACCACGGCCTTCAACCGAGTTAAGCCTTGGGGCTAAGCCAGCTTTCTTAGTTTCTAAACCAAACTCAGAAAGCTACCCCTAGTTGCTCAACCGAAGTAAAAAACCTACTGTTCAAACCGAGATAACAAAATTTATATGAAAAACCGATCTTGCGTATCCTAGGTTCAAACCGAACTACCAAGTCTTTTGCCGAACCGAGATAGAATTTGCCCACAAAGCCGAAGTAGGGCTTATTTACCTTGTTTTTAATTTGTAGCACGGTCCAACGATCTATGCTTAACCTCTTTGTTTTCTACCTTGCAGACTTAGGTTGCCCAGGCACTTCTTCGTGCGCTCAACCGTGCTACTGAGCACCATTTTTGCACCGATATAACTTATTCATAAATTATACAATAAATGGGTAAGTATAGATATCTAGTAGAGACCCCTGGTGGCATGGCCGAATTCCGAAAGGATTATGGCATTCCAGACGATGTACACCTTACCCTAGCCAAGAAGGACATCATACCATGGGGCGAAGCAGGCTTTGTACCTTTTACCCTGTTGTCAATAATAGAGACCGGACTAAGTTTCCCAGTCCAGCTTTTAATTTGTGAATTCCTTAGGCAAACCAGACTGTGCCCAACCTAGCTATCCACCAATACATACCGGATAATAATGGGTATAGCCGAGCTAAACCGCCAAGCAGGCCTGAACCTCGGTTTAGCCGAAATCTTCCACCAGTACTCCATAGGTTCCAAGGATGATGACTGGGTTTATTACCTTAGGATACGCCGTCGTAGAGAAAAGATAATAAAAGATACACCGGATAAGGACGTAAATGATGATGACTTCTTCTGGGTATCGGGCAATTTTGAAGATCAGCAAGCCCCAATCCCAGGCCGAAGTATAAATTGGAAGAAAGGAGAACCTGGTATAGTTACTTCGGTTTTATACATGTTTTTCTTTTACTTCGGTTTCGGATGTTATAACCGATCTAACAGTTGTCCTTTTTGCAGATTCAACTCATCTTGCTTCCCATTATAGTTACCCAAATCTGAACACACTCCGGGCCGCACTACGGTTTAAAGAAAGGAGTTGGACAAAGCTCCTAAACTTTGAGCCGACCTACAAATATAGAGGTCGTCGAAAAGCCAGAGTGTCACGACCCAAACCCGGCCCTATGGGTCTAGCACCGTAACCGGCCAGTAATCCGAGATTACCGAAGGCCTGCAGAACAGTAATACAGTAAAACAGAGTACAGGGCCTGGCGGAAGCCAATACAGTAAATAAATAGTGTCCATTGAGCTGTGACAGTCTGTATGCAAAAAGGCTTTTCATACATTCA